TAAAAGCGTTTTTTAGTACTAATATTTTCACTGTTAATTTCATCCTTAATGAATACTTTAAAAAAAACATACCTTCAAAAATTGTAGCACATACACCTTTTCAATGGTCTATTCTGAGCGACAGGGGCAGTTTATCCGGTTTCTTCCTTCCACAAAGCTTTTAGTTAGCAAATAGATGCAGTAAATCGCATGAGCAGCGGTTTATAATCTCCTCCCATAACAACGCGAGAGTTTACAAATTCTCCACTTAAGCCTGAAGGTCCGAGGACGTGTTTGGCAATCAAGTGTTGTTCCAGTACAGATCTGCTACGATGACAGTCCACCACCACGATGGTGATCCACTGCACGTATCACCACACCATAATGTTCATCTCTGTGGCCACGCCCCCCTGCGTCCTTGCCGCGTTGGCGTGCTGTCGGAATTATGAGCACTGTCAGGATAGGAGCAGGATTTACGAGAGTAAACCCGATCTCACACACACATTAGGCGCGTAAACTGGACACGTTCAGTCACGCGCGGATGTATACATCAGACTTGGAGTAAGGAAGGAGAAAATTATAGCTTTTAGGAGGCGAAGACAAAATGTTCCAGTGCAAGTAAACTGCCAGCCTCGTGACAAAGAGGGAGCGTGGCCATGTAGTAACTTTCCAATGCTCAACACATGTTGGGTATTTATGGTGCAGGATCGGTGTAGCTGAGCGTATAATCATGGCTGATAGACCAACACAATTTGGAAAACGGATAATTTAACACGGCTGATGCGTATTTAAAAAACCGCAAAAGTTGTTAAACTTTAAGTGATTCGTAAAGACATCAAATAAGCATAATAGGCAACTTGTGGTATATATATATATATATATATATATATATATATATATATATATATATATATATATATATATATATATATATATATATATATATATATACTGCTCAAAAAAATTAAAGGAACACCTTGAAAACACAGCAGATCTCAATTGGGCAACAAATCCTGCTGTTCATTTAAACTGATATGGACTGGGTGTTGTGTTAGGAACAAAAGGATGCCACATCATTTGATGGAAATGAAAATGATCAACCTACAAAGGGCTGAATTCAAGGACACCCCAAAATTTACAGTGAAAAAATTATGCTGCCATTTTGCCATCAGTCCATTTTGCTGAAATTTCATTGCAGCAACTCAAAATAGTATTCAGTAATTTGTATGGCCCCCACGTGCGTCTATGCATGCCTGGCAACGTCAGGCATGCTCCCAATGAGACGTCTGGGGTATCTCCTCCCTGATCTGGACAAGGGCATCACTGAGCTCCTGGACAGTCTGAGGTGCAACCTGGGGGCGTCAGATGGATCAAAACGTAATGTCCCACAGGTGTTCTATTGGATTTAGGTCAGGCGATCATGGGGACCAAACAATGGTATCAATTCCTTCATCCTCCAGGAACTGCTGCATACTAGAGACTGACACGGGAGTGGATTTTCACTCCTGTCCCGTCCCACTCCCACAGAAAAAAATGGTGTCCCGTCCCGATCCTGGGCCAGAGTAGAAATCTAAATCCTGTCCCGTCCCACTCCTGGTGAAATTACTCCCACTCCCATCCCGCTCCCATACAGAATGACTCCCGCTCCCGCACCACTCCCATTCTTGTTGTTTTTGAGCGCGGGTGAAAAACTTAGAGCGGAAGTTACTATTGGTTTGCTCCCGCTCCCGTCTGCTCCCATTAATGTTTAATCCTGTACCGTCCCAATCCCGTGATCGTTACTAATACTGACTCCCATCCCACGGGAATCCCACGGGAATCCCGTGACCCATGGGATTCCCGAAAAAATGTCAGTCTCTACTGCATACTCTCGTCACATGAGGCCGGGCATTGTCGTGCACCAGGAGGAACCCAGAACCCACTGCACCAGCATAGGGTCTGACAATGGGTGCAAGGAACTCATCCCGATACCTAATGGCAGTCAGGGTGCCTTTGTCTAGCCTGTATAGGTCTTTGTGTCCCTCCATGGATATGCCTCCCGAGACTATCACTGACCCACCACCAAACCAGTCATGCTGAACGATGTTACAGGCAGCATAACGTTCTCCACGGCTTCTCCAGACCCTTTCACGTCTGTCCCATGTGCTCAGGGTGAACCTGCTGTCATCTGTTAAAAAAGCACAGGGCGCCAGTGGCGGACTTGCCAATTCCGGTGTTCTGTGGCAAATGCTAATGGAGCTCCACGGTGCCGGGCAGTGAGCACAGGGCCCACTAGAGGACGTCGTTCCCTCAGGCCACCCTTGTGAAGTCTGTTTCTAATTGTTGCAACCTCTGTAGGGTCCAGGTAGCGCCTAACAGTAGTGACAGTGACCCTAGCCAAATGCAACACTGGTGAAAAAGAGTCAGAGAAGATGAGGAGAGGAAAAAATGTCAGTGGCCTCCACCTGTAAAACCATTCCTGTTTTGATGGTTGTCTCGTTGTTGCCCCTCTAGTGCACCTGTTATTAATTTCATTAACACCAAAGCAGCTGAAACTGATTAACAACCCCCTCGCTACTTACCACTTACCTGACCAAATCAATATCCCAGAAGTTTAATTAACTTGATGCTATACTCTGATTGCAAAGTGTTCCTTTAATTTTTTTGAGTAGTATATATATATATATATATATATATATATATATATATATATATATATATATATATATATATATATATATATATATATATATATATATATATATATATATATATATATATATATATAACATTTATGTCTCTAATACAGATGGTGGCAACAGTAATACTCTCAATTGGAATATTCAAAACATTTAAATTTTTCATATATTAACAATTACTTGACAACAAAACTCTAACATGAAATACTAACATTAATGATGATTAAGTACAGAATTCAAGCAGAAATAGATTTAGTGTTTTATGGAGTAAAGAGAAAATGATGTGTCTCTGCACGTCATTTAGAAGTCTTCAGTGAAATCATAGATAAATATCTATTTTAATAAAATCGTATTAAATAATCATTTTGTGTAAATCTTAGTACTTGTAAATATAAATTTTATGCAGAATGATTACTGATAAAAGTAGGTATGGAAAAGATGTTCGCCCAAAACTCAAACCTGAAAAAATGTTATCCACTATACCTTTTATCTAGAAAGCACGGATGTTTGAATATATTCGCCTATTTGTTAGCAAAGGCTGTGGGAAAGTATAGTTTGTATTTATTTAGAAAATATCGATGTTTTGCTTGTTAATTTTCCTGTTGGAACGGTGTAGATTGACCCTGAGGTTTTGTTGCCTATCTATTTTCAGCCACCCCTCAGTGTATATTGGTAACTGCCTGGCCACCCTTATAAAAATGTTCTGGCTACGCCTCTGTCTAAGCCTGATTGTGGTTGGCATTACCCAGATTTCTAAGAATTTACACAGGCATCCTGTCATTACCCTACAGACTGCAGCCCGGGGGTGCACAGCCTTAAAGAGCATAAGATAAAATATAATCATATATACATATATATATATATATATATATATATATATATATATATATATATATATATATATATATATATATATATATATATATATATATATATATATATATATATATATATATATATATATATATATATAAATAACAAGTTATTTGTATGTATGTTTTCTTTTCCACTATTTCTCCTCAACTTTTCCCCTTTTGACATCTTCCAGCTTTACAACCAGAAGGTTATTTTAGTTTTCTGGGATTTTGTGACCAACACAAATACAAAATTGTAATCTGAAGTTGCAGGAAAGGATTGGTATTTTAAATTTTTTGAGAATTCAAAAATGTGCAAAAGGTGTCCTCCACCCATCTAGTGCAGTTACTTTTAGACTTCTAGGTTGTGCCTCTACAGTGGCCCCAAGCCTCATAAAGGGTGTCAACTCGTTAAGCCATTCACAGTAGCTTTATTGATTCTGAGTGAAAAGAAAGCTAAAGTCAATGTGCTAATCAGACTAATCACATTTCTGAAGGGAATTCCAATTGAATTACTCAGAGATATTGGATTACCAGGACTGAACAGAAACGCTTTACACCTTTGACTGTTCATTGGTATATGAATGAAATAAACATTATTGTTATTCATCGTATAACATTGAAATAAGAAGCTTAAGGGATAACAGTTGACAGCTTCTTTACAAGGTGGACGATAAACTCTTTCTCAGATGTCAGATATTTTTTTCTGTATCTGCCTTTTACCATCGACTCAGATGCGGGGAACTAAGTGTCGAATCTGCTAGACAAAAAAGAAAATATGCAAAGCATAGCTATTTATGTGGGAACTCAATGTGTTTTGGTGATTGGCAAAATTAGCTTTTTGTTATTGGTGTTTTTTTTTAATCAGTTCAGCAATCTATGAAAAAACAAATGTCATCTCATATCCTGATCATATGTCTACGTACCATCCAAAAGAATGAATTTCCCAGCTGGAACGTAGTGAGCTGTCGTGGTAGCGTGGCCGAGTGGTCTAAGGCGCTGGATTTAGGCTCCAGTCATTTCGATGGCGTGGGTTCGAATCCCACCGCTGCCAGAACATTGTTTTTCGCTCATTAAATTACTCTCATTTTAGGAATTATGCTATTCACAGGGAAGATGAATATCTTTAGATCTACGTAATTTAGCTTTTCGCTTACAAACTCATACTTAATAGCATAGTGCAATGGCCCCATCTAGTGGCCTTACCGGACACAAGCTATTGTGTCTCCTTTTTATTTCGTGTGTGAAAAAAGTCAATAAGGAAAAACCAAAACAAAGTATTTTAAGCTTTTTCTTTGTACAAAAGCAAAATAATCTTTGGGAAGAGAAAAGCAAAACCTGTCCCCAGCACTATCATTTATATATAATAATTATATTATATAATATTTCCTAAACCTTAAAATTCATGTAATGTGTCTTGAATTTCTTTAGTGCTTACACAATGATACAATAAATATTTGTTTACTGATAACATGATATACACGTGGTGTAGTGATTTTAGCAATTATTTTATGTGCAAAATAATTACAATGATTGCTTAACTTATAATAAAAACAAAGAAAGCGTGAATGTAAATTTAACTGATGGCATCCAAGGACCTTCTGCTTATATTCGTTAGACTTATGTGGGTCTCGCCAAGATCAGTCTTTAAATTTTTTTATGCTACGTTCAGACAGCACGAGATGGAAGCAACAAAAAAGCGTCTGCTGCTTCATTTATGATGCTTGTACACATTAAGGTCCAGTAAAGTGTGTCCAGATTCATGTGATGCTTCTGCTCCTCCTGTGTTCAATGGCAGAGAGCGGCTTTGCCATATTTGCTGTTAAAAGTGGGTAAAAAGTAGTTTTAATATGTTTTAAGTGAGAAAGTCCAAAACAACAAAAAAGTCAAGTTCTATTGGGCCTTAACTTGTTTATTCAGGCATTGAGAAGCCACAAACTGCATTTTCTTTATAGCCAGCTGGGTGTCTTCAGAGGATATTCCAAGATGCCACACAGCCCTGATGGAGTTCTCATAATGAGGGTACATGAGAACCTGTACACCCTGCCCAAGGGCAGCCTCTTCTCCATCCCCGACCTGACCCATGCGGGCACAGAACTCCTGGGTAGTCAAAGCAGAATTCTTAATATGGAAACGCAGGATGTTTGTCTCCACCGCAGACATATCCACAGAAAACAGCTGGGGCTGGCAGTCTAGCAGAGCTGGACACAAAGACATAAAGAGTTAGTGATGAAGTACAAGAACCCAGAGATTGTAATGTTTTGTTTCTTATATAAAGGCCATTGAGGCGCTCACCTAGAGCAAATGTTTTGGCATTTTGATGATCTTCCTCAAGCCGTCCTATCATCTCCTGCAAAGACAGCTTTCCAGCTGCTGCCAGAACGCCAGCCTGCCGCATTCCCCCGCCTAATGCTTTACGGCAACGAACCGCTCTGGATATGAAGTCTTGAGGTCCGGCAAGCAGGGTACCCACAGGAGAGCCCAAACCCTGAAGCATACGTTAAAACCTAAAACCATCAAACAGCTGTGCCTCTTTTAAAAACTTGTTCCAAGTTTATTCATGATCCCCTCAGACCCACCTTGGAGAGGCAGACACTGACTGTGTGCGTGTGCTGCAGGATGGAGGACGGCGGCACGCCAAGAGCCACGGCGGCGTTCATCACCCTCGCTCCATCCATGTGAACTGCCAATCCATAACGCTCTGCTAAAGCTCGAACCTGAGGGTGAGGAATTACGTATTAGATATGGTCAAGCTGTTTCTGAAAAGACAATTAGTAACTATCGCTCAAAAAAATTAGAGGATATTTATAAATTTGTCATTAAGTGTCTTCCATATAAAAATAAATAAATAAAACTTGCACCAGAGTAAATATAACCTCCAATTTTCTCAGTAATTTATATAAATAAGCATAACTTTATACTCAGTTTACAACTCTTATTACTTACATACAAGTAGTGGTAAAATGTGCCCAATAATACCTGAATATAAGGTCCTAAAAAAGAATTGTGGGTTAAATCCTAAGAATTTACTGTAGCATTTAATTAACTGTACAGGTAAGTAATCAATTTTTTAGATCCACTTTAAAAGAACCCTGTTGGCTCGGCGCTGCTAACAACTACACCTCTATGCATTAAAGCTACAGTGTGTAATTTTCAGCGACATCTAGCGGTCAGACTGCAGACCGCAGCAACATGAACAACTCCCCCCCACCGCTTCACCCCCCCAACAGTACGGTGAGCATTACGGGACAAAATGTCTTCCACGACGTCCGCATCACCTACCTTCTCAAGTGATGAGGTTTGTTTACATAGATAATTTTACAGATAGTATTTCATTAGTCTGTGTAGGGTATAGATTTCATGTAGACTTAAACAACTTGCCGTAGTTACTTTCGAGCGTAATGGGCGATCTCGCAATCGCTAGTTTGTTGGCTCTGCGCTGATGTAGCGCAAAGATCTCTTCCTCCATGGCTGCGAGACCCGCTCCTATGTAATTATTAATAACGAATTCTAAGGCAACGCAAATATTAAGGTTAAGAGGCTGAGCTCGTAGATGATGATAAATAACATAGTTATGTATAATATATTACATTTCTGACTGTATATCCCTGTAATTATTACACACTGTAGCTTTAAACGAACAGCTGTGATGCTATTGGTGTGCTCAACGTGAGGAACCTTAAACATGAAGAGCATAATCCACCTGCTGAGTACGGAGGGCCAAAAGGGACAAAATTAAAGAAATATTTAATCAAATAAATAAATGTAAAAATTTACTAATTCAGTATATTATTAATTAATCAAGATCTTAATTAATTATAAAATGTAGAATCAAATAAATATACTAATAAATAAAAAACTTAAAAAAAAAATATATTCTTAAACAATTTAATTTTATCTCTAAAAACTACATTCATTCAATATAGATTGAAATATATGTATGCCTTTTAAAGGAGTCATCCATGGAGATGCCACATCTTTTGAACTGTTATTTTGAGGTTAACATGATGAAATGTTAGGGAACTCCTGGTCTTTAGGGAACCTCCTGGTCTTTAGGGGAACTCCTGGTCTTTAGGGGAACTCCTGGTCTTTAGGGGAGCTCCTGGTCTTTAGGGAACCTCCTGGTCTTTAGGGAACCTCCTGGTCTTTAGGGAACTCCTGGTCTTTAGGGGACCTCCTGGTCTTTAGGGGACCTCCTGGTCTTTAGGGAACTCCTGGTCTTTAGGGGACCTCCTGGTCTTTAGGGAACCTCCTGGTCTTTAGGGAACCTCCAGGTCTTTAAGGAACCTCCTGGTCTTTAGGGAACCTCCTGGTCTTTAGGGAACCTCCTGGTCTTTAGGGAAGCTCCTGGTCTTTAGGGGACCTCCTGGTCTTTAGGGAACCTCCTGGTCTTTAGGGAACCTCCTGGTCTTTAAGGAACCTCCAGGTCTTTAAGGAACCTCCTGGTCTTTAGGGGACCTCCAGGTCTTTAAGGAACCTCCTGGTCTTTAGGGGACCTCCAGGTCTTTAAGGAACCTCCTGGTCTTTAGGGAACCTCCTGGTCTTTAAGGAACCTCCTGGTCTTTAGGGAACTCCTGGTCTTTAAGGAACCTCCAGGTCTTTAAGGAACCTCCTGGTCTTTAGGGAACCCCTGGTATTAAGGGAATCCCTGGTATTAAGGGAATTCCTGGTCTTTGGGAAAATCCTGGTCTTTAGGGAACCCCTGCTCTGTAGGGAACCCCTGGTATTAAGGGAACTCCTGGTTTTAAGGGAACCCCTGGTCTTTAGGGAACTCCTGGTCTTTAGGGAACTCCTGGTCTTTAGGGAACCCCTGGTCTTAAGGAAACTTCTGGTCTTAAGGAAACTTCTGGTCTTAAGGAAACTCCTGGTCTTTAGGGAACCCCTGCTCTTTAGGGAACCCCAGGTCTTTAGGGAACTCCTGGTCTTAAGGGAACTCCTGGTCTTTAAGGAACTCCTGGTCTTTAGGGAACTCCTGGTGTTTAGGGAACTCTTGGGCTTTAGGGAACTCCTGGTGTTTAGGGAACTCTTGGGCTTTAGGGAACTCCTGGTCTTAAGGGAACTCCTGGTCTTTAGGGAACCCCTGGTCTTTAGGGAACTCCTGGTGTTTAGGGAACTCCTGGTCTTTAGGGAACCCCTGGTCTTAAGGGAACTCCTGGTGTTTAGGGAACTCCTGGTCTTTAGGGAACCCCTGGTCTTAAGGGAACTCTTGGTCTTAATTGAACCCCTGGTCTTTAGGGAACTCCTGGTGTTTAGGGAACCCCTGGTCTTTAGGGAACTCCTGGTCTTTAGGGAACCCCTGGTCTTTAGGGAACCCCTGGTCTTTAGGGAACCCCTGGTCTTTAGGGAACCCCTGGTCTTAAGGGAACTCTTGGTCTTAAGGGAACTCCTTGTCTTTAGGGAAGTCCTGGTCTAAATGACTACAGACAAACAGGTTACTCCCACCCAAATACAAAACTATTTCCGCATATGTCTGTGCCAACCAGCCACAGGTCATGGCTTTTCAGTCTATAAGAAACCAGAATGCAGTTATTCTATAAACAAACATTTCATCAGTGTTTAATCACACTGGCTGGCTCTTTTTTTTTTATTTTAATAAAATTTATCTATATCACAATTATGCTTTTAATATATTGCTTTTATCATATGATCCTCCACAAAAGAGCTAATCTCACGCTTTTCAAATCCATACCAAACTTCTCCTCACTTGTACCGTTAAATAAATGTTAATTTAGAGTAAATGTGGAAAAAAAATGTGGAAATGCATGAAAAAAAAAGTTGCTGTAATTCTGGTTGAAAATTATACGTTTTCTGTATTTTAATACACCTTTGTTAGTTACCACATTATTCCAGTTTCAGACTGCCTGCTAGTAAAAACCCTATGATCCTTATACATTATATAATTTCAGGTTGTGTAATTTCTGTGAAATTGTTTTTTTTTTTTTTTTTTTATTCTTTGGCTAAATCAGTCCCTTATTTCTGTTCCTTATTGACAAAAAACTTTAACGGTTTCCCTGTTCTATTAAGTCACAAAGTCACTGATGTTCATTTGTTTATGACCAAAGAAGGTGCTGAAAATATTGACGAAACATAAGAAATGTTATTATAGATAAAGCATATATTACAAAATCAATTCATTCATTTAAAGAAAAAAAAGGACACACCTCCTGCAGGAAGGAAAGTGGCAGCACTCGTCCTCCCTGGATGTTGTGTGTGTTTTCCACACATATGAGACGTGTGCGAGGGTAGTGGGGGTCTGGGTAACCATGGCGGATCTTTGATTCCAGCTGCATCAAGTCAAATGTCCCATCATGGCGAGTGGTCACAGTGGTGGCGTGGACACCAGCCAGCTGTGTCAACACAGACCCATTTAAAGTGTGTTGCGCTTCATTAGATATGCTGCTTTTTCTCAGGCTGTCTCACCTGAGCGCTCCCTCCTTGCTCGTAGATGTGCAAGTGGGACAGATCGCCTACAATCATCTCATCACCGCGCTCCCTGCAGTGCACCATCACTAAAAAAAACAGAAAAAAAAAACATTTAGAGACATTTTTGCAAAATATTGAAGGATATCCTGCAGAAAAAGGAGCAATGCTTACCTGCAATGAGATTACTCATAGTTCCAGATGGGACGAACAGGGAGGCCTCCATCCCAAACATTTCTGCTGCCATTTTCTGAAGCTCTGCAAAAAACCGAAAAGTTCAAGGAGAAAAACATTCAAGGAGTGTCTTGGTTATAATTGGGGTCAAAAAGCAGATCTGTGTGTTTTATAGCTTAATGTAAAGCTCGTTTTATATATGCGCAGACAGTAAAAGTAAATCATTACCCCCCCGTTAGAAGAAAAAAAAGAAAAAAATTAAAATATATTATATCATGATATATATTATATTTTCTCTCTATTATGATCATCTGTTCTTGCAAACATCTCTTTTACATTTTGTAGCTTTCTTATAACTTTAAAAACCTCCTAAAAATAGACAACCTATCTATCCATCCATCTATCTATCCAGTTTTGCAGAGAATATTGCAAATGTATTGTTATTGTAATTGCAACATATCCTGGCTTTTGCTGCAGTAAGTATATATATATTTAAATATACTGTATTTACATATTTGGTGATACTTTAATGCAGTAAAAAATGCATTAAGTTACTTATTAGGGTGCATTAAGATACTGTTTGCAACAAACCTAAAGCAGAAAGAAACTACAACTGCTGAGTTTATCGAAAGTAATTTTACTGACATTATGACTGTATTCCTAAAATAATAAAAACACAAGGAGGGCTGTAATAAGAGGCAGCTGTAGGAACTCTCAGGTAAAGATGAAAATGGGTTTTTATCTTTACCAAGCTGGTCATTGTTGAAACAGAGGAAAGAAGACCTGCAATCTAAATAAGTAATTTTTCTTAAAATAAGTACAGTGCAAGTTTTCTTGAATTGAGGAGGTAAGTGAGACATTTTGCAAATGGAAGATTTAAAAAACTAATTCCATTGGCAAATTGTTTTATTTCCCTTCTCATATTAGGGGAAAATACACTTAATTAAAGTAATTTTTTACTTTTTTCTAAATCGTGTTTCGGAGTGCATGCAGAGATGAGTGAAGGGGGGACAAACTGGTGGTGGGAGGGGTGTCTTAGATAAGCAGGGACACAAACATGAATCGAATGTAAAGGAAATGGGTCACAAGAGTTGGCAAAACTTAAAGAAAACCTGTTAGATGCAGATGGTGGAAAAGGAAAATATAAAAAAAAACTAAGCTTTCCTTCCACTTAACAGTTACACTCTACTTTGGGGTGTTATTTCATAAAAATGACAGCAAATAAAGTGAAGTTTTTATTTTTACCCTGAAAAAAAAAAAAGATAAAAAACTTCAAGTTGGTTGATTCTTTTGTAACACATTTAGGCTTACTCCCAACCCCTACCATTTTCTTCCCTCTGAAACAGATGGTAGCAGCAGTAATACTCTCAAGTGGAATATTCAAAACATAAAAATGGTCATATATTAACAATTACTTGACAACAAAAACACTGTGGTTAATTATGCACATCAATATACTAACATTAAAGATGATAAGTACAACATCCATCCATCCATCCATCCATTATCTGACTGTCAGGTTTCTGTTTCTGTTATGTTTTTCTTTTGAGTATTCAGTCTTACTTTACTCCTTGTTTTCCAGTGTTTAGTTTTCTTTTCACCATGTTTTATAGTCCTAGTTATTTGATTATCATTTTGTTGTTATTTCCAGTCTTCCAGGTTTCTATTTGTTGCTCTCTGCTGCCCTCTTATGTTCTCCTTCTTCCCTAGCTCTTTCCCCCTCTTGTTCTTTGCACACCTGCTCCCAGTTTCCTCATTAGCCCCCTCTTTGTCTCAGTCTCCTTTAAAAAGCCCTCTCTCTTTAGTTCCCCTTTGCTGGGTCCTCGTCAAACACGGGCTTACCTTTTCTCACCCTGGCTCCTTGATGGTTTTCCCCTGATGTCTCCATGGTTCTGGTTTGTGTTTGGTTTTTATGTCGGATTTTTGGATACCTGTTTTTGTTGCCTGATCTCTCATTAAACCTTCCAAGAACTCACCTCTGCCTCTCAGCTTCTGCTTTTGGGTCCAAACAAAAACCTTAAAACCAAATCCTGACACTGACACGCTTGTCCCAAGTGTGCTGGTGCCTATCTCCAGCAGTCAACTGGCGAGAGGTGGGGATAAGTACAGCATTCAGGCACTTTTCAGAACTACATTTTGTGTTTTATTTATTTATATATATATATATATATATATATATATATATATATATGAGAAAATGCAAGTCAACTAGGAGTCTTTGGTTAATTCATAAAAAATATATTAAAAACGTATTAAATATTCAATTTATGACTTTATTGATCTCACAGTGGAGAAATTTGCTTTATGTAGATATTAGTGCTTGTAAATATCAATTTTATGCAGAATGATTATTGATAAAAGTAGGTAAGTAATGACAATCGAAAAGATGTTTGCCCCAGAACTTACACCTGAAAGAATTGGATCTACTATACCTTTTATCTAGAAAGCACGGATGTTTAAATATATGCGTCTATTTGTTCACAAAGGCTGTAGGAAAGTATAGTTTATCTTTATTTAGAAAATATGAATGTTTTGCTCGTAATTTTCCTGTTGGAACAGTGTAGATTGACCCTGAGGTTCTCATGCCTATCTGCTTTCGGCCACCCCTCAGTGTACATTGGTTATTGCCTGGCCACCCTTATAAAAAATTTCTGGCTACGCCTCTGCCTGGAGGCATCCTAAATGTGACTGCTCATCATGGATAAACCATGCATGTAGTAATGGTGGAGAGAAAAAACTCCCTTTCAACAGGAACTTCCCTGCTTGTTAACTAGTAGTATACCTAGATTATCTTCACTATACATGAAAGTGTACCTTTATAAACTACACAAGACTTCAAGTTTATGACAAACAAACAGTACATTTGAAAGCTCACTTGGTAATTTATTGAATAGTTAATAAACTTGTCTCAATGTATTTTGTAAATAAACACATGGGGAAATATACTTTACCATGCTTAAATATACTGTGTAACATGTGCTTAATAAAGTAACCTGTGCTTTATTGTAGATTTTCTAAAGCAGGGGTCTGCAACCTGCGGCTCCAGAGCCACATATGGCTCTTTGGACCCTCTTCAGTGGCTCTTAATAGTGGCTGAAATGTATATAAAATGCTAAATAATTTACTTTAATATATACCGGTATCAATAGCTTTAGTGTTTTTTATAAGTGGGAAAAGAATGAGATTAAAAGAACCAGAAATATGTTTTAAGAGACATTTTTCTATGAATTAGCTTGAAAATTATATGTTTTAACATTAAAAATACATGAATTGTTGATTGTTTGAGATGGCAACAACTAATTTCCTATACAAGATTAAAAAAATAAGGTTTTCTAGAAAAAGTCATGTTACATTTTGCGGCTCTAAACAACTTTTACTTGGTCGGACTCTGGGCAAAACGGCTCTTTGGATATGAAAGGTTGCAGACCCCTGTTCTAAAGGCTGCTTTAAAGGATCAATAAATAAATAAATAAATGATTAGTATGTTCATTAAACCCTGGGTTGAGCATCTTCCACTCTGACCGTTCACTGTCGGATCCTCCCCCATCACATCGTCTCCGACCTCGGCCTCAGCCATCGCCTGCCGCATCGCCGCTCCAGGTTTGGTCACGGTGTCGCTGCGGAGGTCCACCACCTGGACGCGTGGAGCCCCGACCGGCCGGGGACTCACGGGTTTCCCGGTGTTGTAGTAGCCCCGCTCGGAGCTCTGACCTTGAGCCGCATATCGAGAGCAGAGAGGCTTCCTGGGAAACCAGCCCAAAACTCTACAGGACAATGCTTTCAGAAACATGATGCTTTAATCATCTTCTCTGCAGGTGTTTCTCTGGTGAACTTTGAATCGGTGGTCATGCAATCGACAATCATTGACTGGCTGAGTCAGGGGTGACAAGTCGATCATCGACCTGCACGTCCACATGCACTGAAGTAAGTTTGCCACTAGAGGGCGCCAAAATTCCATAAATGTTAAACTAAATAATTGGTTCCACTCATTGTAGAGCAGGGGGCTTCAACGATTTCCAGGCGAAGGACCCCTAAACCAGTGGCGGTTCTAGACTAAATGTACATGGGGGCCAGGAGCGGGCCAGCGTGTTTTCATGGGGGCACAGAAAAGCATGAAATAAAAAACAGGGCAAGGGATTCAAATGTATTAAGAAAGCTGCATGAAGTGAAATTTTATTATATTCATATTACATTCATATTTTAGGAATTTGACATATTTTTGACTTAAGTTAAAATTACAGTTTTCTATAGAATTTTGAATTAGAGCATATTTGTTTAGAAAAAAAAAAACATTTAGCAGATTAAAACTTGGATCCTATCTCAATACAACTGAAACTATCACCGTGTTATTTTTAAATAATTAGTAAAACAGAATTTGTGATAAAAAAAAAAAAAGGAAATGGATCCAAAGGACCGTTCAGTAACCATGTCTGTTCCAGCGCAGATCATCATTAGAGTTTCTTTGAGCGTTATGTCTTCAGTACAGGGGCCATAGCAGGGGCCAGGACATGATCTACAGGGGCACTGGCCCCTGAAGCGGGAACCCCCTAATTATATTCAATTTGATTTGTACAGCGCCAATTCACAACACGTCATCTCAAGGCACTTTACAGTTCAACAAGATCCTACAGTCAAATTGATTCAAATTCTCATATTGCTCATATTGGACCAATATCAATCTTTTTCAGCCTTTGTTATTTAATAAAAAAAGGAACAAACAAAAATATCCATTTTTTTTAGATCTTTTATTCAGAAAATTGTCTTTTCCACTAATTGTTTTCTTTAATTTTTTTTTCTTCTGGGAAATAAGGCCCCTTCTGCGGTGAGTTTCTAGGATTAGGTCAATATCTGGAGGTGAGATTGTGGGAATGCTGCCAGAGAGAAAGGCAATGAGGGAGGTGCTCTCGATACAAAACAGCCTCTCCCGCCTCCCTCCCCCCTCCCTGACACCCTTTTTTCTTTCATACTAATGTTAAAGCTGCATTCACATTACAGGCACGATCACCCTCCCTTCCTCCCTCACACACATTTCCCACTCGCTTGCACGCTCTCCCTGTCAAAGCCGATTTCCATCACTCGATAAAGGTCCCAGTGTGTGTTATCAGGGCTGCCCCACACTGTAGTTAAAGTTGATATTGGCAGTAGGAGAGCCAGGTTTTATGATCCATAACAAGTCATCATTAGAAGTCATTAGCAAACATCAGCTATTGTAAATTGGCCACAGTTGGCCTCCAGAGGCCCACAAGAGCTGTGAACAAGGGAGATATAAAGATGCATCACTATACAAGCCAGAGCAGGGATGGAAGTGTGAGACGAGGAAAAAAGAGCAGGGGACTGACATGTCCTGAGTAAAGTTTTTGAAGGATTGATGTTGATGTTGGACTTTGTGTTCTACATTTTTTTTTTTTTGGTTCTCTCAGACTCACAGCATTCCGCCTCCCTAGAAAGGCAGAGTGGTGTTTTGGATAAAATATTGAATTAGAAAACAAAACACATAAAAAAGAAAAAAAAATGAGCAGAGAGGGAGAAATGAAGGAGAGGGAGAAATATTGACTCCTTCTGGGAAGGAGCGAGTCGGCAACGCCTTTCCAATAACCATAAACCCACTGGGCTGAAAATAGATGAGCAGAATGAATAAACCAATGTGTTCATCTCACATGAGCTCTTCCCTTTCACAGACAGAGGAGTATGGAGGTGACACCGTCCCCTCCTCGCCTTCTTTTCTCTTTTTCCCTGAGGCCATCATTTCTTCACCGGGACAAATGATTACCGTAACAAAGCAGGTGTTTATGGGGAAGCATTCTCGCAAATTGCTTTGTTCTTTTTTAATAGCTTGCACACACAAAAAACTCTCTTTCCCATTTAGGAGAAAGGTGTCAACAAACATTGCCTGAAAAAAAAAAAAGGTGACATCTGTTTCACATCCCCCCTCCTTCCCTTCATATATCACAGGACTTTGCACACTTGTACAGCTATTATCTTTAAGGACATTTAGTGACAGCATTAAAGATCATTTTCTAGAATACAACAAAACTGACCATATCTTAAAAGAGAAAAAGTGCTTAATTTTTGTTTTCATTTGGCTCACAATAATCCCTCTTATTTGAAAGGATGAAAAAGAAGATGTGAAAAACTGAAAGAGAAAGGCTTAAACTGCTCAAGAGGTAGGGGTTAGTGGTCAGTGGGTTGCTGGTTTTAGCCCCATGTTGGTTCCTATCCATCTATGTTGTCCTTGGGTAATACACTCCACTCGCCTTGTCTAAGTCATTGCAGCTGTGAATACAATGTAGATTACCACCATCAGCATGTGAATTACTGACTTTTTTTTATTTTTAACAAAACATTTATTAAACAATGATTGAACAATTAACAGTTAAAAAAACTCATGTCAGCTATTACAATAGCAGCTTGTTATATGTTAGTTCTCCCAAGTCAGAAATGGTGCACAAACTCTATTAAAACCCATTTGTAAAAAACCCTTCAAATGCCAGTGGCTCTGTGGGAGCAAAATTCCAGCCTCAACCTGGCCTTGATGTTAGACTTTCACAGAGCCACCGCATCAAGCTGAGGTCCTCCCTGCAGTTTGTCACTTCGAGTCAGGTAATAATAATAATAATAATACATTTTATTTAAAAAGGTGCCTTTCTGGACACTCAAGGTCACTGTACAAAAGCATAAAGAGTGTCAGAAAAAATACAAATAAAAACATTTAAAAATATAGAGGCTGTGACAGTGAAATTGATATTTAAAGAGAATAAGCAATCTTGAACAGATGGGTTTTAAGTTGCATTTTAAAATGGAGAATTGAGTCCGTGTTTCTAAGTTGGGGTGGTAGAGAGCTCCAGGGGGCAGAGCGGCTGAATGCTCTGCTCCCCATGGGGGTGGGAACATGCAGGAGGTCTGACAGATATGGGGGGGCAAGGTGGTGAAGTGCCTTGAATGTCACCATGATAATTTTATATTGAATGCGGAACTGTACGGGGAGCCAGTGGAGCTGTCGGAGGACCGGAGTGAGGTGGTGGATAGAGGGAGTTCTTGTTATGATGTGAGCAGCTGAGTTCTGGACCAGTTGTAGTTTATGGAGTGATTTCTGAGGAAGTCCAAATAGGAGGCAGTTGCAGTAATCTAGTCAGGAGGTGACAAGGCTGTGCACAAGTATGGCAGTAGTGTGTGGGGTAAGGGAGGGACGGAGGCGGTTGATGTTTCTTAAGTGGAAATAGGCAGACCGGGTAATGTTATTTATATGGGATTGGAAAGATAGTGTGCTATCGAGGATGACACCCAGACTCTTAACCTGGGGGGAGGGGGAGATGGAGGAACTATCAATAGTAACTTGGAAACTGTCGGTTTTGGAAAGAGTTGATTTGGTGCCAATGAGGAGCACCTCAGTTTTACTACTGTTTAATTGAAGGAAGTTTTTGGTGAACCAGGCTTTTAATTCACAGATGCAATTTGTGAGGAAGGCGGGCGGAAGAGAGGATGTTGCGTGGTGAGGTAGAGCTGGGTGTCATCGGCATAGCAATGGAAGTGGATGTTAAATTTGCGGAAGATATTGCCAAGGGGAAGGAGGTAGAGGATGAAGAGCAGGGGCCCTAGAACAGAGCCCTGGGGCACACCTGAGGTGACGGGGGAGGGTTGGATTTGAGGGTCTTCAGTTGAATGAACTGAGGCCCCGTCCAAACGAAGCCAAACCCTGGCCTAAACGCACAAATTTTTCACCAAACCAGCCTCTCATCCATACGAAGCCGGCGTTTCGGGGGTCTGTAAACAATCTTTTTTTTATTCAGCCTTCAGAGTGGGAAGATTTTGAAATCTCCATCTTTAAGCTCTAACCGCATTTTTTTTCTTATACGCATGCGTCATAGCGTCGCCTCTAAACACGCATGCGCGACACAGTATCACAACAACAATGACGCCGTACTGTGTTGGCTTACAACAGAATCTTCTTCTTCTGGAATATCTCCAGGAAGAACAGAGGAATATAGACGACATAGTTCAGCACCTGAATTTGACTGAACCACGAAAATTGACCCGCAGGGCAATCATGTATAAATATTAGTGCGCATGCCCAACATTTCGTCGCCTATTTTTGCTTTGGCACCACAGCGCCACTTACAGCCCTGGCATACATTTTGCAGCGTTTTCATGCATTCGTGTGGACGATCACATTTATTTTACGTCTCCATCTTTACAACAAACGTTCTGGAAAATATTAGCGTTTCGTGTTCGTTTTGACCTCGTGTGGACGGGGCCTGAGTGCGGTCAGAAAAATAGGAAATAAACCAGTCCAACAGAGTGCTAGTGATGCAAATGGAAGAAAGCCTACTGAGGAGGGTGGTGCGACAGATGGTGTCGAAGGCTGCACTCAGGTCGAGGAGGATGAGGATGGTAAGTAGTCCAGAATCAGATGCCAGATGTAGTTAGCCATTTTTAATTTCAGAGATTAAATAATCTAAAATCCGGGATCTGAAAGCAGTGGCTCGACTGTAATGCACACCGTTGATAAAAACCCCCCAAACATCCTAAAAACGCTCAGTAAAAAAATTCTAAGAATGCCCCCAAACTTCAGTAAGCAGTTTAACTTTACTAGTAGCATATGTATATATATATATATATATATATATATATATATATATATATATATATATATATATATATATATATATATATATATATATACACATCATGTGGAAGCACTGTATGTACCCCATACACCTTTTTCTTCCTCCTTTCTTTTTTGACTATTGAGCTGATGTAAATGTCTCCACTGTGAGATCAATAAAGTCAATCAGTCAACGTTGACATGTTTTACTCTAACCAAAGAAATCACAGTTCTTTCCAGAATCACAGCATAGAGTAACTGAGTAGTACCTTT